AACTAATCATTTGATTCAGGTGTGTTGACCCAGGGTGTTATCTAAAACCTGCAGGACATTGGCTCTCGAGGCCTGGAGTTTGCCACCCCTGGTCTATGGGACTGATTCACTGCTAGAGTGAGCCTCCAGTGGACATGATTAGAGCTGCAGTTTTTGGCACTTCAGCCCTATAGGTGCTGCTTAAACTGTGTTTGCACATTTTAAACAGGCTACCTGACTGCTCTGGCAAACCTGAAACCTGTTTCCAAGAAAGGTTTGGGTATTAACTCAACTTTTCCTCTGTTATGTGCCTGACTATGAGCTCCAATTCAGTTTCCTTGACAGTTACAGTTAAACTAGTTAAACTGCTCTTTTTATTTCCTGCCTGTAGCATAATGTTCTGACTTTCTGTCTTTCAGCTCCAGTTCTCTTTGGAGCCAGAACCAGTAGCCATAAACTGCACAGCCTTCAATCACAATGGAAACCTGCTGGTGACTGGAGCCGCTGACGGAGTCATCAGACTGTTTGGTCTGCGTTCATACTCGATTCATCCAAAGATTATTTTCAAAGAGGATTAATCTGTGGCCTCTTTGCTGTCACTTACCAAAACCCAAGTAAGTTAAATACATTTCTGTCCTCTGTCTTCTGTAGATATGCAGCGGTATGAGAGCGCGATGAGCTGGAGAGCTCACGATGGGGAAGTTTACAGTGTGGAGTTCAGCTATGATGAAAATACCGTCTTCAGCATCGGAGAAGATGGCAAGGTGCGTGAAAGCCAGAACTAGTGTAGCTCCGTCTGTTCTCCTTATGTTACTCAGGAAAGTCAAGAAAGTGTGTGTGTGTGTGTGTGTGTGTGTGTGTGTGTGTGTGTGTGTGCGTGCAGTTTATCCAGTGGAACATCCATCGCTGTGGGGTTAAGCAGTCGGAGCAGATTTTACCTCAGGACGCCACCGGGCCCTTCGTCCTGTCGGGGTACAGCGGCTACAAACAAGTAAGCAGACCTGCTGGTTAATCTTCAAGACAGCACTTCATTTGATTTCATGACCAAAGCTCGCTAGAAAACATTGAATTCTACAAAGTAAATTAAACTCTGTTCATAAGAAAACATTTTTTATAGTTCAAAGAAGTAAAATCACCAAAGTGAACAATTTGGGGTGCTTTTTTCTAACTTGGTGATATAATTCTTGTTCAGGTTCAAGTCCCTCGAGGTCGACTCTTCACATTTGACTCTGAAGGTCAACACGTCCTGACCTGTTCTAGCTCCGGTGGACTCATATACAGAGTGAGTACACCTTCATGTCTGTCTGTAAGTAAGTAAGCAAGCATTCTTTAATGCTTTAAATGTGTTTTGTATTTTAAAAAATTTCCTGGTCCCCTCTCTTCCAGCTGGCCAGTGGGGAGTCAGCTCTGGAGAGGGTGCTGTCACTGGGGGGGCATAAAGCACCAGTGGTGACCGTCGACTGGTGCTCAGCAGTGGACTGCGGCACCTGCCTGACAGCCTCCATGGACGGGAAAATCAAACTGAGCACGCTTCTAGCACAGAAGTCCTGACTGGGGACCTAACGGAGGTCCTCTGTTCTTGTGTGTCTGTGCAGTTTCAGAGATGAAAGGAAGACTCGAGGAATGTTTCATGATACAAACAAACCTGTTTTTAAATCAAATTAGGATTAAAATCTCACTGAAGGTTCCACCGTAGAGCTCGTTTCTTTTGTTAAAGCTGTATTTGTTGGTGTTTTCAGGCCTTTGGGGAGAAGAAAAACTCCTCAGCAGTCTCACAGACACTCAGCAGCATTTGAAGTGTTTGAGTCAACAGCACCTCGACCTCTTTCAGGTACTTGAAGTCGTTTCATGGAGAATTGAATACACCTTTCTAAAATGTCTTCAAGAACCTAAACAAGAAGTCCAGTTGCTTTCATCTCAAGACCTTTAGACTGCAATGATCTGGATGAGTGAGAGACGCCACTTGGATTGATTGGAATAAGAAACGTCCAAGTTTTTCTTATACGAGCCAAAATGTTACAAGTAAATATTTGGAGGATCACTCTGGGTTTTTATTCCCTTAACCTAAACCAAATAAATAAAATAATAATAGAATAAAATAAAAAAGGTAATAAAGTAAAAGAAAAAGACCTATCACAAGAGAAACTGTACACTGAATTTGTTTTATCCTGTATTATGTTTGATTTCATTCTTACAGATGTGTAGTGTAAATAACAGAATCATAACAGTTTTGTACTTTTCTTTTCTTTTTCTTTCCAATCAGTAAATTTTCACTTTAGCTTTTTTATTTTGTTTGTTTGGGGTTTTTTTTTTAGTTTCAATGTTGTTTTTATAATGAGGGCAAAGGCATGTGAACTAGCTACATGTACCAAAAACACCACTTTAAAAAGGTGGTGTCTGAATGACTCACAGTGACATCCGAAACGCTCCCAGCCTTCCAAATGTTTGTGTTTACAAATGTGACCTATATGACTGAAGCCTAATTAATCTCTTATTCAGTTTAGATGTAATGAAATGTGACATTTACAGTTGTGTCATAGGTTTCCACACAGTCATCATGGGAATGAAAGTCATGGTAATTTTGGGCTTTTAATTAATTCTTTTTCTAGGGTGGAATGATTATACAGCATATATCTTTAATGACTTTAAAAAACTCATAGGTGTGAATGAGGGAGTGGTTGGTTGGCGATTAGTTGTCTCTGTCTATGTGTTAGCCCTGCGACAGACTGGCGACCTGTCCAGGGTGTATCCCGCCTCTCGCCCTAAGACAGCTGGGATAGGCTCCAGCGCCCCTGAAAAGGATAAGCGGAAACAAATGGATGGACTTTAAAAAACAAGAACTGGGTGCACACATTTGAACTTATTTTGGGTTTTCTCTGATCCCAACAGGGTCAAAAGTAAACATACAGACTCAAATATTTACATACACCCCTACTAATATTTGGTAAAAATGTGCTTTAGACTAGAAGGTGGCTTACAACTAACGTGAGGAGTGTATTTAAACACCTGACCACACCTATAAATAAAATTAACATTGATGTTAGCCACAGTCACTTCCTGTAGATTTAGATTTTATTTTCATAGATTCATATTATTATTTTATTAGTATACAATTTTCTTTCCCCAGACTATTTTTTTTTTTAATTTAGTGGAAAGTGTTAGGAGTGCTAGGATAATTTCTGCTCAGTTTGCAGGTGTAGCGCCTGCTCTTCGCCGTAGGGGGCGGTGTGTACGAATGCGTGCTGTAGTTATTTTTAGAGAAGAAGCAGAAGCCACAACAATAACACACAGGCATTTTCAGGGACTGAAAATCCTTTAAATGTGACCTTTTCAGCGCGGATTTTCTCAGTGTAACGTTTGCAAACGGTCCGTTTATGTGAAAAGACTACAAAATAATTCCGCACGAAGGTGAATTCAGGCGCCATGTTGCGTGTTTCAGCGAATAAATAGCATGTCGTTAATGCGAGGCTAGCTGCGCCGTTAGCCTGCGTGCACCGAGACCGGTTCTGCTGTCGCTTTTCCGTTTCATGTCACTACTGTCCGGTACCGCGTGCAGACATGGAGAGTTTGTACAAGCGGAAAATGTTCGCGTCCATGCGGAAAACCAAAGTAGCCGCATCGAAGAAGCGGCAGATCGGTCTGCCCGCCTCCATCCTGGACGACAGTGACGAAGGGTCCTTCTCGTCGTCCTCCTCCTCCGGATCACAGTCCGACTTCCAGAGCTCTCCTGAGGACAACAGCGAGCAGGAGGACCGGGACCGGAGCGAGTCCGGGGGGACCTCCAGCGACGACAGCCGCTCTGTCACCCGCAGGAAGCGCTCCTTCCTGGGAGGCGACGACAGCTCTTCGTCGTCCAGCCGCGGCGACGAGGATGAAGAGGACGACGATGACGACGACGAAGATGACGACGGAAGTCACACGAAGAGGATGGTCCAGCCGAGGAAGAGGAGCCGGCTGCAGCGGCAGGACGAGTCGGACTCGGACCGCGCGGAGGAGAAACGGAGAGAGGACGCGGAGAAGGCGAAGAGGAGGCAGAGACATAACAAGCTGCTGGCGCTGTCCCGGAGGATGAAGGCCCGCATCCCGAGCCGGAGGAGGAGCCGCGTGAAGCAGGTACACCTGAGCGCCTGCGTCATACACAGGAGCGCAGGTGCTTCTGCAGAAACACGGAAAGACGAGCAAAAAACAAACAGGGCTTCACCTCTGGGTAAAAGCGCAGGTATATGAGATAAAGTTGAAAGAATTCATGTAAGAGCGGTGTTGTGCCAAAACGTGACCGCCTGCCAAAAACTAATTTCCAATGTTTCCGTGTGTTTTTTATGTGCAACATCTTTACGGTAAATAGACTTCGGTGAACAAGGTTTACAAAGGGGTTATATATAAAATTTTAAAATTACATTTTTTTTAAGTAGCTTTATAAATCTGTGTTATTGTACTTACATTATAACCAATCCGGTCCTTTTTGTCCACTTAAAATATGTTTACAGATCTATTATTATATTTGTTGCAATATCTGGTCTCCTCTTGGACAGATTACTCTTACAAAAGACATTTTTAATGTCAACGAGATTTTTTTTTAACTGGATAAATAAAGAATATATAAAAGTCACTGCCAAAAACTGATTGTAGCTTCTGCCTTGTTACAGGAATGTTGTTAGTGGCTCAGGATGACTTGATATCATTCATTGTGGGATTCATTTGACATATATTTAACATATTATAGACCAGCAAGTTATTTATACGAGCAATCACTTTTTTGGCAAATACCGGAAAAAAAATTATTTTTTTTGCAGACGATCATTTTTTGGCACAAATGTATTCACATCAAAGAAAAATGTGCTTTCAAAACTTGAACAGGAAAAATCTACACGTTAATCTGTAAGACGGAATAAGAGTTTGCTAAAGCTGGCAAATTTACAGTAAACTACAAACATTTGCCAAAAAAAGAGAGAGAAAATATTTTTAAAAATGTGCAAATTTACAACACAACAACAGGTAGATTTATGAAAAAAAAAACCTTGGTTCATAAAAAAGCTAGAAAATGTATTTAAATTAAAGGACTGGCAAGTTTAAGAGGAAAAAATCACTTACGTGAAGCGTAAAAAAATGTACAAGATAAAATTCTTTATTGTTAATAATAATTAATAACAAATAAATGTTCATTATTAATTTTGTTAGATTTTAGAATAAAAGTTAAATGACCAATTTATAAGAAAGAAATTACAGAATTTGTACAACAATTAGTAAATGTATTTACGTTAACAAAAACTGGCAAGTCTAATGAAAAAATTCACTTTTTTGGAGGCAAAAAAGGTCAATTTACAAGAGAAAACAAACAGATTTATGAGAAAAAAGGGGTCAAAGTTCCAGGAGAAAATTAGCAAATTTATAATAACCTTAGAATGAATAAAAGTTGAGAAAGAAAATGGAAACAACAAAAAGAAACATGCATTTTACTGAAAAGAAAACTGAGAAGGTTGCAAGGAACACTAATTTATACTAATGGATTGGCTCATTTCCAATAGATTTCCAAGTTTATAAGAATATATTGCACTTCATACCCAATAAAGCTTTATACCTGTGTGTGATGAGTAAAATGGGTTTTATTTAAATTGTTTAAGGGCACAGGAGACAAGGAAGAGTCTAAAAAAGCAGAGGATGAGGCAGATGGTGATGGAGATGGAGGAGGTGAAGAAGAAGAGGACGGAAAGAAAGAAGTGTCACGGGGAGACAAAGGAGAAAAAGAGAAAGAGGAGGAAGAAGAAGAGGAGGAGGAGGAGGAGAAGTAAGCCTGAGAGAAATAATAGCATTTAAAAATGATGCAAAAGTGTTTATCTGTACAGGACTCATGGTTATGTTGTTGCTGTGACAACGAACACTTGTAACAAGCAACAAAAAGAAGAAAAGAGGAGGTGGACAGCGTCTCTGACCCCAGTGTGAGGTACTTTTTTGCTTTAGATTGAAAATATAAACATTTGCTGATCTGCTGAGCGCTCAGTTTTATTTACATGCTGCAGATGTTTCCATGTTAATCCGCCAACAGCTGGAGGCTCCAAGCACTGCTGACCTGTATGACGTCACAAGCAAAACCATATAATGGTTAAGTTGGATTCAACCAGGTGGCCTGCACTATCAGCGTGACTTACGATTAGAGCAAAATCTTTATTATAATTTATTAGCTTTTTTTTTTGGTTCATTGTTGTAACACTAAAAGGTTTTATCTGGGAGTGGTAGTCACAGCCTTCCTGCAGCTGTCCATCTGAAACTCACAGCCCACCGGTGAAAGGAGCAAAAACAAGTCGCCAGCATTGAATTGTCTTATTTTCACTGAAATGAGTCCTGGAGTAATACACAGGCCACTACATGCAGCTGGTTGTGAGGTGTGTGTAACGCGTGATTAAAATAAAAACCAAAAACGTACATATTCAATATACACTTTGCTCGCATGAAATTAGCTTTCTTATAAGATGTGTTTTTTTTTTTTGTTTGTTTGTTTTTTTTTCCTTTTGAACTAAAAAAAATCAGCTTTTTTCTGGCCCACGTTTGGCCCTCTTGTCGCTCAGTTCTGGCATTTGGCAATCACCAGATGTGGCCCAGAAGTCATAAACACAGCTGGCAGCTGGCACAGGTGGACCTCAGCAGCCACTGAGTCACAGGCACACATCTGGGTTATATTTTGCATATTTGAACCAGCAGATGTTTTGCTACTTTAGCCTTAAAAAATACAGAAATGTGCTCATATCCTGTTGTTTTAGTCAGAGCTCTGCTTGCAAGTCCAACAAAAAGCCAGTGAGCGGTTCTCGAGTTCAGCTAGATGAAATTTGTGGCAGCAGATCAGCTAGTGAAGCTAAAACCAGAGCGAAAGCTTTCCTGGATGTGGAGCACAGAAGCTGCTTTCTTTCCTGCAAAAGGGAAGAGCTGCTTAGTGGGCGGGGCTTCCACATCACATCACTGAGTGTAATCGTTGCATTATGACTGCGTGTGAGCTTTAAGACAGAAGCCGACTGCATCTCCCAGAAGGCACTGGTGTGAGTCTTTATTGAATTCTTGATGGCAGTGTTGTGAATATGCAAAAAACTCTGATTTCACGACCCCGGAGGATTCTGGGTATTGCAGTATTTAGAGACATTCAGTAACCGACAGCACTCTGACTCGTTTCTGTTGCACTTTCCTTCTTTTTCTTTCATTTTTTTTTCCTGAAGTTGAGTTTGATTGTTTGCCAATCTTTTCTAAGTAAGTGTGAAGGCCTCGCAGACCAATTGATTTTTTTTTTTCTTGTACAGCAGCTTTTTAATCTGTTGCTTTATCTTTGAAAAAATATTTACATATTTTGATAGTTTTGTCCGTCTGTTATCTCCAGCGGTCTCTGTTTCTGTTATTACATTGTCAGCTAAATACCTTTGAATGTTGAACCACACAAGATTTTTGAAGACTTCCTGCAAGTTCACTTTGCTGACATAATAATATCGTTATACTTACTTCCTGGTACACTTGCAGTATAGTGGTTGCCCATAATAAATCACAGATAAAACCAAATTATTTGTCAGTAACTGCATTAAAAATGCCTGCATAGGTTCTCAGTTGTGCAGGTCATGGTAGTCTTGAGTGCTTAAAAATAAAGTAGTTGACAGTAGGGCTGCACGATTTTGCATAAAATGAGAATCACGATTTTTTGGCTTAGAATTGAGATCACGATTCTGTTTTCCAGTATAAATATTTATTGCACTTATTTACTGCACATCAACTTCGTAACAGTTGAGACTGAACATAAAAACAATAAATAAACATAAAAACAACAAATGTCTCACGTTTTGTTGTTGCCGCAAAATGTTGTACTGCTTGAAATTCCGTCTCCGTTGCTGGACGCTGCGTGTATAGAGCAGGTAGTGCAACAATAGAAAAATGGTTGCGGGACGGCACTGTGTAGCGTTTGTCTAGGTTGTTGATCATTTTCCTAAATCCCTCGTTTTGCACAGTGTTGATGGGTGCCATATCTTTGGTCAGGTGATAAGTGATAGCCTCCGTAATTTCTTTGTGCCTGCGGGAGTTCGACGTTCATAGGGAAGCGCTGTATAAGGTTCCCGTTATTGATGTTTGGGTGGTTGACCGGGACGGATTTTCCCTGTCACTTTCTCGTCATCCCTGACGTGCTCTCCGTTGTTTTTCTTTCTGCTAATTTTAGCATCACACGGCACAGCTTCTGTATCACGTGGTATAAGGCTCCGCCCTTGTCATTTGTTGAGCAGGAAGAGTGAGCGCTTGTTTTCATGCAGAGTACGTCGCGGATCAAAATGCGGTACAGTCGTCGTTGTTTTGTTTTTTTTTTTTGTTTTTTTTAAATCGTTGTCATTTGGAAATGAGATCGCACATAAGTATGAATCGAGATCGCGATTTTCTAACAATTAATCGTGCAGCCCTAGTTGACAGTACTTGTCTTAGACAGGTGCCACCTTTTGGACTCAGTGACGGTAATGACACATGCCATTTCTCATAATTTGAACTGGAAAAGCCTCCTGGATGAAAAATGAAATGGCTAAAGAAACCTAAAGAAGTCCTGTTGCCCTTTTTTAACCACTCAAATCTGCTTTAAAAAAAGCTCCAGTTAGCCAAGGTGATGGTTGTGCATTTGTTATGAAGGTTGAAAAACTCGTCAGATACTGAAACAGTTTTCTTGTATCAGACTCCAAAACATGTTTATTTCTGCTGTAAAATTGGGCATTTAACATGAGAGATGGGGGAGATTAACTTGCTTTTGAAGCCTCAAGTGGACATTAGAGGAACTGCAATTTTGGCATTTGAGCACTGGCTTCCTGGAGTTACCAGGGGGTCATCACTTGGTATGTCATCATGAATGTTTAAGTTGGCACTCTGTTGTTGTTGTTAGATTACCAGTGTTTAAAAGGCCCAAATATATGAGCTCGTTGTGATGTAAGAAGTCAATGAGGTTGTTCTTATGCTACTTTCTGGTACATCTGGAATTCTTTGATAAATCTCACATACATCTTTTGATGATCGATTGGGCTTATCATCATGTTTGTGTGCTAAACTGCCAATTATCAGTTTGGCAGAGCTTACTGCATTTAAATCAGAAGTATTATGCGATATTCAGTGGCAGCTGTTTAAACCCAAACAACTTTCAAATGACCAAGACTGGTTGTGATGACATGTTACCTGTACCTCTCAGTGGTCACTTGTTGTTGTGTATTTACTATTTTAAGACTGGTACACTCAACTTTATGGTAGCTTTTTGCCATACAATTCAACACTAAGTAATTAGTAACATGTGCTTAGTCATAGTCATCAAACAGGCTTTTGGCGTCACCTTATGATGGTAGGGGTGCATTATAAAAGTTGTGTAAAATACTTTTACACAACTTTTTTTTCCCCTTCCTTTTCTTACAATTTCTCTTAGAGCTGACAGTTGAAAAGTCATGACTTTTAATTTTTAGTGTCCTTGTTTAAAATAAGCTTTTTTGGGCTTTTTGACAGATAGCACATGGTGCTCGTCCAGTATGTTTGTGCATTGTTTAAAGAAACGTGACGACTGTGGCAGTGAATTTCATACAACTGACAGGAAGTATGGACAGAACTATCAAAATAAGATTCTAACTGTGTAAAATAAAGTAAAACTTCTTTGATTTTTGACTATGTTTGATCTGAAATTATGGACATTTCTCCATCAGTAAATTTTGTTTGCAAAAATCAAATGATCCCACCTGGTTCATTTTTTTTGGTGGGGGGTTCCTGTACATAGAAATGTGGGTGAATTATCCCAAAACTATTTTGTATTTTTCTATTTATTTCTTCCTTTGTAAAGTCTTCTAAAGGCCACAGGCATGTGCTAAAACAAAAATGGACAAATGATGAGAAATTTCTCTTTCCATCCTTCTTCTTAAATCCTTGCTTCTCCTGTTTGTAAAGGTGCATTCATGTGCAATCGTAATAATAGGAAAAAACACATGATGTGTCTGAACCTCAGCAGCCTCCGTCAAAGTTGGTGAGAAACTCTGAATGTTTTTAAGTTGAGTTTCCAGCTGCTAAAGTTGAACCCACAGACTGTTTGAGAGCCTTGTGACTCTTGTTTCTTTTGAGATAAGGACTCAGTATGGTATACAGTGTAGTGATAATACACACACATTATAGGTACTTATCAGTGCTGTGTATTTACCTGTTTCCAGTGTATTCCTGGTCTTTTGTTGCTGTATAAAGCTCTTTAGACCAACTCACGGTGTTGAAAATACCTGTTTTAATAATAAAGTTTCTTCTTTTTTGACCAAGAGATTATGTGTTGAAAGTCTTTATTTATCTAACACATAATGCATGAATCTACAGGTCTGTGCTATGAAATAAAACATTACGTCTTATGGTAATTTCTGCAATAATAAATAAAAGAGGACAAATGCACTATCCTATATTTGAGAAATTCTTTTGTTACAGCAGTTAAAATAATAATGAAAAATTATAATACAAAATTGATATTTAATTTGGTAAAATGTACTTAAATTGTGTTTTTTCTAATATTTTATAGTCCTTCACATTTATTCTATACTGAACAGAAAATAATTGAAATTAGCACTTTGTGTCAGCTTCTTTTATTTCAAAATGTGCTAGTGAAATAAAAGGACTTGATTTGATTTTAATTTTAAATGTAGTATTTAAATTAAGGCTTATGGGAGTGCCTACTGGGGTCAGCGGGGGAGCTGGCCCCAGG